CTGGAGCTCACTTGGTAGTCCAGGCTGGCCTCGAACTCACAGAGATCTGCCTGCCTCTGCCTCCCAAGTGCTGGGATTAAAGGCGTGCGCCACCACGCCCGGCTCAGTATTCTTACATTAAAAAAAAAAACTATTTTATGCAGAAGGGTGTTTTGCCTGTGTGTATATCTGTATACCAGTTTGGTGCCTGTGGAAGCCGGAAGCAGGCATTGGACCTCCTGGAACTAGAACTAGAGTTACTGAAGGTTGTGAGCTGTCATGTGGGTACTGGGAATCAAATCCACATACTATACAAGAGTAGCAAATGTTCTTAACCACTGAGCTGTTTCTCCAGCCCTGTTAGATTTTTTTAAAAAATCATTTTGCTCAGCTGGGCGGTTGTGGCATACACCTTTAATCCCTGCACTCTGGAGGCAGAGGCAGGCAGATCTCTGTGAGTTCAAGGCCAGCCTAGTCTACAGAGTCAGTTCCAGGACAGTTTCCAAAGTTACACAGAGAAACCCTGTCTCGGAAAAAAAAAATCATTTTACTCTCTTTTATTTCTCTGTTAACAGTTTTGAAAGGCCATTTATACAATAATAGCACTGTGGATTGGCTGAAAAATACTTATAAATAGTGATATTGTGCTTAGTGTCTAGGGAAATCTTAGAGTATGAATTTTGAGTTGGATTTTGAAGGACCACACACAGGAAGACACTGAGGTGTAATAGTCCAAGAGAGTGTTTGAGGATTTGAATGTGGTACCTGCAGCTGGTACAGGGTATCAGGGAGAGTTTCTCAGAAGTAAAGAAAGACCCTGGGACAATTCTGTGGAGCTTGTAGCTTTATGAAAATAAAAAATATGTAAAACTACAATCTTAAAACACTGAGAGCAAAATTGTGTCTTTAAAACATTTACAGGGGTTAGAGAGATGGCTGAGACAAACCGCTGCTCCTGCAGAGGACCTGAGTGTGGTTCTCAGTGCCCATGTCTGGTGGTTCCTAACTGCTGTGACTTCAGTTCGAGAGGATGACACCTGTTCTCACCTCTGAGGGCTCCTGCATCTATAATGTGCGCCACCACTGCCTGGCCTGAAACCATGTCTTTAAAAGAAAAAAAAAAAAAAAGCTGAACTGGAGAGATGGCTCAGCTGTTAAGAGCACTGACCGCTCTTCCAGAGGTCCTGAGTTCAATTCCCAGCAACCACATGGTGGCTCACAACCATCTGTAATGAGATCTGGTGACCTCTTCTGGCCGGCAGTCATATATGCTGTATACATAATAAATAAATCTTAAAAAAAAAAAAAAAAAAAAAAGAATGCTTAAAAAAAAAAGAGCACTGGCCGCTCTTTCAAAGAACTTGAGTTCAATTCCCAGCACCCACATGGCAGCTCACCATTGTCCCGAACTTCCAGGGGATCTGATGCCCTCTTCTGGCTTCCAAAGGTGTAACAGGGCCCTAGATCTCAATAGGCCCCCAGAGCTCGGCATAACCCACCCTATGATGGAAGTACCGTTTGGGCTGTAAAACTCGGCACTCGGACAGCACCAATGGCCAAAGAACAAAGATCTAATCCATCCAAGTCCATAGTTCTGGAAGAGTCTTTAAATGCACTAACCTTGCTTTTCAGCTTCTATAGTTCTGCTTCTGGATAACTCTTCTTGTTAACTGAAGCATGTCAACCCACATTTTTTTTTTCAGGGACAAGGTTTCTCTGTCTACCCCTAGCTATCCTGGAACTCACTCTGTGGACCAGACTGGCCTGGAACTCACAGTGATGTGCCTGCCTCTGCATCCTAAGTGCTGGAATTAAAGGTGTGCACCACCACTGCCTAACATGGTTTTTTGTTTTGTTTTGTTTTTGTGCTTAAATTCTTACCCTGAAGCCAAGTGGCGGCAGCGCACACCTTTAATCCCAGCTCTCAGAAAGCAGAGCCAGGCAGATCTCCGTGAGTTCAAAGCCAGCCTGGTTTACAGAGCTAGATCCAGGACAGGCACCAAAGCAGAGAAACCCTGTCTCGAAAAAACAAAAACAAACAAAAAAATCTCACCCTGAGAAAGGTTTGGTGCTCCACTGGGATCCTGAACACACGCTGTAGTTGCTGGCTGACTAATAAAGACTTTCTATTGGCTCAAACCCGTGTCTGAGCAATCTTCTCTGGTGGATATCCCACATTTTGGGAGGTCCCACTGAGATCCCCAGAGATCAGACTTCAATACCCTGGGGGTCTCAGAGGCCCTTGTAGTGGGGAAGAGTGTAGTGGTCAAGGAGCTCCTTGTGGGTATGGAACCTGGGTTCCAGGTGACACCTCCACCCCAAAAGGAAACAAGAAGGCTGCCTGGCCTGTCACCTCAGGAGGTAAGTCGGCTTAAGGGGCCTTCTGTTTGGACACATAGGAGAGGTTGGATGCAGCCACTGGTCCAGTGTCCAGGACCCATGTGAGATGTCACTGGATTCCCTCTGTCTGTGCAGGTGTATGAATGTGTGGTGGCCACCCCCGGTTGTCTTTACTGTGTGTCTCTGGGTGTCTATGTGTTTCTGTCAGTTCTGTTTCCCATTATTGACCAGTGGCTTGTTCTGATGTGAGAACCCCCTGGCTTAAGACCTCTGCCCCTCCTGTTGGGGATCCGAACCCTTTTGGCTCTACCAGGTCACCCCGGAAGACCAAAAACCCAACCCAACCCAAACCTCCACTTACCCCCACTGGGAGCAGGAGCGCCTGCTTGTTTTGTTGCTCACAGTCAGGGTTGGTTCCTCCGTGGAGGTGGGGACGGGCCAGGTCTCTCATCCGGGGACCCCTGCCATTTAAGCAGGATGCACACAGGGAGGGGAAATAGTTCCGCCAGCTGAACATTCCCTCTGCCTGTTCTAAGTAGCCCCTGGGAAAGGGAAAAGTTCCCCTGTGCTGATCCTGAAGGAAAAGAGAAAGTTCCACTGCTCTCTCTTTCATGATTTAGTTCTTCTTTTAACCAATGATCTGTATAATTGGGAACAGCCATCTTTGAAAAAAGAAAAAAACTGCCCTTGGGCTAGGCAGGGGTATTGAAGCCAGACAATGCAGCCCGGATAGAATAGGTCCAACACAGACTGAGGAGACGGTAAAAGTTATTGCTAGGTCCTTTTTAGAAAGATGAAAGATAACTACTAAAAAGATTTCCTTTGTCACTCCCCAGGTACTGAAAAAAGTTAGAATTTTTATTTATTTATTTATTTATTTATTTATTTATTTATTTATTTATTTATTTAAGAGACAGGGTTTCATAGGCTATCCTGGAACTCGATCTGTAGACCAGGCTGGCCTCAAAATCAAAGATCCTTCTGTCTCTGCCTCTCAAGTGCTGGAATTAAATGGAATTAAAGTCATAGGCCACCACTGCCTGGCTAAAAGTTGGAAAAATATGTAGGTCCCAGTTGCTGGAGGTAGCTCAAAAAATGTTTAATAGGCTGGGCAGTGGTGGAGCGCTCCTTTAAACCCAACACTCAGGAGGCAGAGGCAGATGGATCTCTGTGAGTTTGAGGCCAGCCTGGTCTACAGAGTGAGATCTAGGACAGACAGAGATGCACAGAGAAATCCTGTCTCAAAAAACAAACAAACAGACAAACAAATGGCATTTAACAATAGAGAACAGAATGGGACAAGACCTTTTTATTTTTTTTTTAAGATTTTTTTTATTATGTGTACAGTATTCTGTCTGCATGTATGCCCACACACCAGAAGATCTCATTATAGATGGTTGTGAGCCACCATGTGGATGCTGGGAATTGAACTCAGGACCTCTGGAAGAGCAGCCAGTGCTCTCAACCTCTAAGCCATCTCTCCAGCCTGCTGGAACAAGACCTTTTGCATAAACTGAAAGCCACCATCACCTTCTCTGATAATGAGACATAGTTAGACTTACAGATATCTGTTGTGGAATATTTGTTTAACTATGCAAAGATGTGTTGCATTTGTTTAATTATGTGAAGATGTTTTGCTCTTTTACCTTGCCAGCCTAAGCACCTGACTGGTCTAATAAAAAGCTGAACAGCCAATAGCAAAGGAGGAGATATAGGTGGGATTTCCAGGCAGGGAGAGTAATTAGGAGGAGGAATTTAGGCTCAGGGAAGAAAGAAAGAGAGCCATCAGGGAGATGCCAGGGGCCAGCCAGCCAGACATGGAGGAATCAGGAAATTAAGACATACAGAATGAAAAAAGGGTAAAAAGCCCCAAAGCAAAACAGATGACTAGAGACAAGTTAAATTAAGTTAAAAGAGCTAGTGGGACAAGCCTAAGCTAAGGCCAAGCATTCTTTTTTGTTTGTTTGTTTTTTGTTTGTTTGTTTGTTTGTTTGTTTATGAGACAGGGTTTCTCTGTGTATCTTTGGAGCCTGTCCTGGAACTCACTCTGTAGACCAGGCTGGCCTCAAACTCACAGAGATCCTCCTGCCTCTGCTTCCAGAGTGCTGGGATTAAAGGTATGTGCCACCATCGCCCAGCTGGGCCAAGTATTCTTAATAACAAGTTCCTGTGTCTTTATTTGGGAGCTGGTTGGTGGCCCAAAGAAAATTCCAACTACAGATACCCAGCAAAATTTTTGTGTCTTACCCTCTGTCAGAAGAATATTGCCTAGCTGGAAGTTCTGTCTCCAATCAAAAGGTATAGTTAGACTATCTCTCAGACTAACAACAAAGTTTCCTGGGGTATGGGTAGAAACCAACACCCCAGGACTGGTCTAAGTTCCTATAATTAATTGTTCAACTAACCAGTTCAGCTACTCCATCCAGATTAAACAATACCCAATGACCCTTAAACAAAAAGGGAAACTGCAGTCCATATTACCTTGCTTGGAGAGAAAGGCATCCTGGTGCCCTGCCAGTCACCATGGAATACACCCTCCTGCCTATGAAGAAACCTGGGACCTCTGACTGTCTTGAGTCTGATTATTTCAGAGAAACAGGTGTACACTGTCTTGGACATGAAGGATGCATTCTTCAGCATTCCATTGGCAGAGGTGAGTCAACCCATCTTCGCTTTTAAGTGGACAGACCCAGTGGGAAGTTACAATGGGCAACTTACATGGACTAGGTTGCTCCAAAGATTTAAAAATCTGCCAGCCTGTTTGATGAGACATAAGAGCTGACCTCCTGCCCTTCTATTAGAGGTTTCCTGGGAAAACAGATTATGAAAGGGCCATTGAGGGACTGCTGCAAGAGTTACAGACCTTGGGCCACAGAATGTCAGCTAAGGAATCCCAACTTTGTACATCAGAGGCTGCCTATCTTGGATACTGGCCGAGGGGGAGGCACAAGGAGCCTGTCTCAGAGTCGGACTGCTGTCATCCTTCAGACACAGGTTCCAGAGTTCCCAGGAGCAGCGAGGCACTGCTGCCTCTGGATACCAGAGTCTGTGGGAACAGCAAGGCCTCTCTACATCAGCACAAAGGCGGACACCGAGCCCCTAATCTGGACTGAGACTAAACAGAAGGCATTTGAAGCTTTAAAAACAGCTCTGAGCTGGGCGATGGTGGCACACACCTTTAATCCCAGCACTTGGGAGGGAGAGTCAGGCTGATGTCTGTGAGTTTGAGGCCAGGCTGGGCTACAAAGTGAGTTCAGCTCCAGCTCTAGTATTTGCAGATGCCTCAAAACCGTTTGATCTGTTTGTCCATGAAACAAAAGACAATAGGGGTTTTGATCCAAATTCTGGAGCCATGGAAACACGCTGTGATACACCTGTCCTAACGATTGGACCCTGTATGAAGCCACAGGATAACCCACCTGTCTAAGAGCTACGGCAGCTACCGCTAGTCTAATGAAAAACAAACAAGTTAACTCTGGGTCAGGATCTTATAACTCACAGTCCCCCACATGGTTGAGACCAGAATGCTGGCTGTCTAATGACTGTGTGAGCCAGTACCAGGCCCTGCTCCTGGCCCACCCTCAGGTCTGGTTTGAGAAATCCACTGCCATCCATCCTGCTACTCTCTTGCCTGATGACAGCCCACAGGTGCTCATCCATGACTGCCGTGAGATGAAAGATGGAACCGAAATGATCTGGGCCCAAGCCAGGGACCTCAGCCCAGAGAGCAGCACCGGTCAATCTGACCCAGGCTCTCAGGTGGGGAATAGGAAAGTCCACCACCATATACACAGATAGTCGCTTTGCCTTTACTACTGGGCATGTCTACGGTATGATGTACAGAGAAAGAGGGCTTCTCCCTGCTGGAAAAAGGACACTAGAAAGCCTTGGCCCTCCTAGAAAAGGTTTGGCTCCCCCTATGAACTGCTGTCCTTCACTGCCAACCGCTGACCTGGCTGTCTGACAAATGGCCCTCAGATGGGTGGGGCCTATAGTAACTAACTCTATAGTAAAGAAGAAATGGATAGCTCGAACCCACACGTTGATGGACGACACGAGAGTGAAAGATCATTCTCCCAGAAACAACTAGCAGGAAGGACTCTGGCAACTGCCCTTCACCAGGCTACTCACTTAGGGATCACAAAGCTTTCTGATCTGTTCAGACCAAGGCATGTTATAACTAGGCTGGATAGCCTGGCACAAGATGTCTCAGCCAGGTGCCAGGTTTGTGCTCAATTAATTCAAAACAGAGGTCCCTTACCTAAAAAGGGGTTCTCAATGAGAGACCAACACCCCAGTGAACTCTGGGAAAACTGACATCCCTGAGATCAGCCTGCTAGGGGAGAATACAAATACTTGCTAGTTTTTATAGATGCCTTTTCCAGGTGGGTAGAAACGTTCTACCCAGACTGAAATTGCTCAAATGGCAGCTCAAAAGCTCCTCCAGGAACTGGTGTTGATTTAACCTTCCCCTAGCAATGGGGTGTGACAGTGGCCCAGCCTTCACAGTTAAATCACTCAATTAATAGCTAAAGCTTCAGACATACACTGAAAACTTCATTGTGCACACAGACCTCAGAATTTTGGACAGGGAAAAAGAATAAATAGGACATTAAAAAAACAACAACAAAACTCTCATTAGAGTCCAGTGAAGGGTGGATAGACTTCCTTCCTTTGCTTGACTTTGAGCCTGCTACACCCCATAGAGGGAGGGGGGTTTATTCCCTATGAGATTGTTTTTGGAAGACCTCCCCCGACGCTTCTCTAGCTCAGGGACCAGCAGTTGACAGATCTCTAACCACTCCCTTCTCAAGCCGTTACGAGCCCTCCAGCCCTCCACACAGGCTAGTCATTGGACGACCCGAGAGACCTAGCCGACCTCCGGGACCGCCACCACTTTACCCTTGTCCTTCAGCATCCACCGGGTCAAGCTGGTAACGAAAGGGATGCTGGGACCCACTTGGAAAGGCCCCTCGACGGATTCTCTCCACTTCTCTGATTGTGAACATAAGTAGCATGACATCGTGGATCCACCACACTCAGGTCAAGAAAGTGGAAGCAGCAAATGATGATGCCAGACAGATGGTCTCTGGGCTATGGACCCATTACAATGAAAGTCTCATTAGCCCCAGGCTCTTCTGCTCACTGCCCTTCTGCCTGCTCCTGAGTCTTATGTTTGGTACGAATACAGGGTCATGGTCCAAACCTTAAGGCCCAGACCTGGGACCTGAGACAGACAGATACAGGGGAGGTGATAACTAATGTGGTTACAGACCAGCAACCCACATTCCATCTTATTTACTCCCTGGTGCCCAGTTTAAACTTCTGGTTGTACCGGAGGAAATAAAGATACGGGAGTTTATCTTTTGAGACAGGAATACAGAGTTTATGATTCTATGCACGCTTTGAGGCTGGGCCTCCCCAGTTGCCAGGAACCAGGGGATTTCCATTGCAAAAATTAAGAGTTGTGAAACTGAGGCTTCCTGAAGAATTCCTTAAGAAAGAGTTTGGCCTTACAGGGAAAACCTGGAGAATCAGACTCTATGCCACAGGAAGAGACTCTGGGGAGAGAGTCATTTCCAGAAATCAGGCAGGATTTACTGGTTAGACTGTCAGCCCATTGACTGACAAAACTCACTGTGACTGGGGGCAGCCAGAATTAATGTTAGAGCACTTACAAGGGACTGGAACTTGTCTAATGTCCAAACCCTCTCATCTAGGCACTTGCCCTTACTCTGATGCCCACTTTTCTTTCCTTTTCTTTCTTTCTTTTTTTTTGTTGTTGTTGTCCCCCCCCTCCCGCCCCCCCTGCCCAAGAGGGTTTCTCTGTGTAGCTTTGAGCCTTTCCTGGAACTCACTCTGTAGCCCAGGATGGCTTCGAACTCACAGAGATCTGCCTGGCTCTGCCTCCTGAGTGCTGGGATTAAAGGTGTACACCACCACCACCACCACCACCACCACCACCACCACCACCACCACCCGGCTGATGCTCACTTTTCAATGGGTTAACTCACCTGCACAACAGCAATATTCCTGGGCCCTGAGACTACTTGGTGGGCATGTACCAATGGTGATTAAATGTGCCTCTTCTGATGCTTTCCAAACTCAGTAGACAGGTTCATCAGGACCTAGAGGTATTAATAGTTTCCATTTCTGAATTAAAACAAAAGTTGGATTCCCCTGCAGAAATGATCCTACAAAATTGGAGAGACTTAGACTTACTGCTCAGGAGACAAAGGAAACTGTATGGCTTTGAGAGAAACCTGTTGTTTTTATGATAATTGATCAAGAGTAATTAGAAAAAAAATTGTCATGGTTGAAGAAAACCTCCAAAAGGAAAAAGAGACAAAGACATAAGTCAAATAATTAATATCAGTGTCTGTTTTCTTAGACCCCCTGGGTCTATCAGCACTGGCTGGACCTTTAATTCTCATTCTGAATGGATTAATGGTAGGGCCTTGCATCTTAAAGTATATGGCCAATTATGTATCAGTTCAGTAAAATTAATGGTCCTGGTACCAACTACACCTCTTTTTTTTTTTTTTTTTCTTTCTGATACAGAGTTTTTCTGTGTAGCTTTGGTTGTCCTGGAACTTGCTCTATAGACCAGGCTGGCCTTGAACTCACAAAGATCCGACTACTGCCTCCCAAGTGCTGGGATTAAAGGCATGTGCCACCACTGCCTGACCCAACTACACCTCTTTAGTAGGGTAAGTCCACAGTTTGATTCATTCACTAAGACCAGTGGGGAATGTATTGGTCTCAGACCTTAGTAGGTCCTCCAGACCTTGGCACAACTGACTCCATGATGAACGTACCATTCAGGCCATAAAACTCAGCATGTAGACAACACCATCTTCCAAAATGAAAAAAGACTTAATCCATTAAAATCCATAGTTCTGGGAAAGTCCCTAAATGTACTAACCTTGCTTGATCCTGAACACCCAGAGTAGTTGCCGGCTGGGTAATAAAGACTTTCTATTGGCTTAGACCCATGTCTGAGCAGTTTTCTCTGGTAGATACCCCACAACAAAGGCACCAGACACCCAGGTGGTTCACAGGTGTAGATGCCGGCAAAACATCCATATAATAAAATACTAATGACAAATTAAAAATTTCAGTTAACCGCCCCCTTCAAAAAAACAAAACAAAAGCCAGGCGGTGGTGGCGCACGCCTTTAATCCCAGCACTCGGGAGGCAGAGCCAGGCGGATCTCTGTGAGTTCGAGGCCAGCCTGGGCTACCAAGTGAGTTCCAGGAAAGGCGCAAAGCTACACAGAGAAACCCTGTCTCGAAAAACAAAAACAAAACAAAAAAACAAAACAAAACAAAAAAACAAACAAACTAACAAAAAGCCAGGTGGGCGGCAAGCATCTGTTATCTGAACAATCAGCTGGGAGGTGGATGCCAGCCTAGGTTAGAAACCATGATTCAACCTGTCTCCTCCCCCCACCGGCACACACTGGTAATCCTAACTACTCAGAGGCTAAGGTAAGGGAACCAAAAGTTCAAGGCCAGTTAGAGCACTTTAAGCAAGACCCTGCTCCAAACAAAAACTAGAAAGGCAACCAAAGGGCTGGCAACATAGGTCAGTAGTGGCACCCTTGACGAGTACGAGCAAGGTCCTGAGTTCAACCCTCAGTCCTGTAAAACCCAGGAAGTCTCTGCATCCAGGCTGTGGTGAGGCGCGCCGGCAATGCCAGGAATCAGGAGGCCGGGGACAGCACTGAGTTCCAGGTCAGCCAGGGTTACAGGGGCCCTGTTTGCTAATTCACAAGGTCCAGTTTACTCCACACAGGCAGGGAACGGGAGTTGGTTCCCAATGGGGACTGGACTTGGGTGAAGTTTTGAAGTGTGCGGCGCCCCGACCCCCCCCTTTCCACTTTTTCTTCCTGGAACAAGAACAGAAGCTCTACAAAGGCCAGGACATTTATACTTTTAGAACTGAGAACAAGGCCTAACATAGAGCTGGCACAGGCTGCCAACATTAGCAAATGGACGAGATGCTTACGTTTGACCAGCATACCTTTGTGGGCGTCAATACATCCCTTGCAAATTTGGGGACGTGGTTATAGTTACAGGGTTTGTCCAGCATTCAAATTTGGGGGAGCATACTGTTTTTTGGGGTTAGCAAGTTTTTTGGTGGTTTGTTTTTCGAAACAGCGTTTCTCTGTGTAGTACAGTCCTGGCTGTCCTGGAACTCACTCTGTAGACCAGGCTGGCTTCGAACTCACAGAGATCTGCTTACTTCTGCCTCCCAAATGCTGGCATTAAGGCGAGCGCCACCACCGTCCGGCTAGCATATATATATATATTTTTAATCCAGTAACCCCCGAAAGACTTGGCTGACCTAATTGACCGGATGGTCATCTCCCACCTGTACGTACACACGGAGGGAAACAACTCTACTTCCAAAGGAATAAATAAAGCCCCTGGTGCCCGGTGGGCCTCCAGTTTCTACGTCCGCTGGGGCACAGCCCGGGACGAGGAGCTCCTTTCCCACCCGGACCTCAGCAGGGTCGAAAGCTCGCAGCCCGGGTGTAGGTGGTCCGCACCTGCCCGCCCCGGCCAGCCTCTTCCGGGTCAGGTGACCGCGCGCGCTCACGTGACCCGGCCCGAGTGCGGGCGCTGGAAGGCGGAAGTGGAGCGGAGTTCGGCGCCGCTGGTGTGGCCGCTGCAGGTAGGTGGCGCGGGCGCTGGGGGCTCGGTGGCGAGCGGGCG